GACCCAGGGACTTATCCATCTTAATACTTTTTAATATCAACTTGGCTTAGAACTCAACAGTCCCTTTCTCGAGATCATCCTCCACCTTCTCTTTGGTGAATGCTGACACAAAGTATTCATTTAGCACCCCACCTACCCCTTCTGGTTCCAAACATACATTCCCTCCTTTGTCCTTGAGTAGACGAACTATGGCCCCTTTTAGCCCTTCTAATTCCTTAATTCTAGTTCTTCCCTACTTTCCTTATATACTTCAAGGACTTTGCCAGTTCCCATACTCCTAGGCTTTATGTGTGCTTCCTTTCTCTTTTTGACCAAGGTCATAACATCCCTGGTCATCCAAGGTTCACCTAACTTGCCCATACTTTTCCTTCATTCTCACAGGATTGAGCCTCTCCTGAATTATTACCAACTGCCATTTGAAATACTCCCACATGTGTCAGATGTGGATTTACCCTCAAACAGCTGCCTCTAATCAAAATTCTCCTGTTCCTGCCTAATATTGTTGTAGTTAGTCTCCCCCAGTTTAACATCTTCACCAAAGCACTGCTGTTATTCCAATCCATGAGTAACTTAAAACTCATGGTATTAAGGTCATACTCCAGAAATGCTCCCCCACTGAAACTTTATTCACCTGGCCAGGCTCATTTCCCAAAAGCAGGTCCAGTATAACCTCTTTGTTGGTTGGACTGATTACATACAGTGTCGAGAAACCTTCCCGAATGGTCCTTACAAATTCTGTCCCATCCAAGCACCTAGCACAAAGTGAGTCCTAGTCAATACAGGGGAAGTTAAAATCACCCACCACAACAACCCTGCTGTTTTTACATCTTTCCACCCTCAAAATCTGTCTACATAGTCTATCCTCTATCTTGCTCTGGCTATTGGGAGGCTTATAGTATACCCCCAGCATTGTGATTTCACCTTTCCTATTCCTGAGTTCCACCCATACTGCCTCGCTGCACGAGTCCTCTGACGTATCATCCCTCAGTACAGCTGTGAGATACTCCTTTACTTGTAATGAAAATCCCCCACCCCTTTTACCTCCTTTTCTATCACACCTGAAATATCTAACTCCTGGGACATTCAGCTGCCATTCCTGTCCTTCTTTCAGCCAACTCTCCCTAATCACAATAATGTCATACAGCTTTGGTTAGTACTTGGAACTAAGTTCATCTACTTTGCCTATTATACTTCTCACATTGAAACACATGCATTTCAGACCACCTTCCATGCTCCTTTCAGCAGTGTTTCCCTGCCTGTTCTTGCTTTTAATCATGTTTGCCTTGGTTTCTACCTCTCCCTCAATGTCTGCATCTGCTACCCTACTCCTCTGGTTCCCATCCCCCACCACACTAGTTTAAACCCTCCCCAACCACTCTACCAAGGATCCCCCCTCCAAGGGCATCAGTCCTGTCCTACCCAAGTGTAACTTGTCCAGTTTGCAAAGGTCCCACCTCCCCTAGAACTGGTCCTCATGCCCCATGAATCTGAAACCCTCACCCTCATATCACCTTTTCAGCCATGTGTTCATCCTATATGTCCTGCTGTTTCTACACGGACTAGCTTGTGGCACTGGTAGTAATCCTGAAATAACTACCTTTGAGGACCACATTTCAACTTTATTCCTAGTTCTCTATATTCTGCTTTTGGCACCTCATCCCTTTTATAAATCTATGTCATTGGTACCACTGTGTACCACAGCCACTGGCTGTTCGCCCTCCCCATCCAGAATGTCCTGCAGCCGTTCCGAGACATGCAAGACCCCAGCACCAGGGAGGCATCACACCATCCTGGACTCCTGTTTGCAGCCACAGAAATGCCCAACTATTCCCCTTACAATTGAATCTCCTATAACTATAGCAATTCTGTGCCTATTTCTCCCTCCCTCTGCAGCAGAGCCAACCATGGTGCCATGAATTTTGCTGCTGCTGTTATCCCCCGAGAGGCCATTCCCCTCAACAGTATCCAAAATGGTATATCTGTTTTGCAGGGGAACAGGCACAGGAGATTCCTGCACTGCCTGCTTAGCCCTGCTGCTCTGCCTGATGGTCACCCATTCCCATCTGGCCTATGGAGTCAGAACCTGCAGTGTGACCACCTTTCTATACGTGCTATCCATGACAGTCTCTGCCTCGTGAATGCTCCTCAGTGTCCCCTGACACCGCTCCAACTCCAAAACTCAAGCTTCCAGGAGCTGCAGTTGGAAACATTTCTTGCATACATGCCAGTCGTGGAAACGTGCCCGGCTTCCCACATTGAACAAGAGGAGTAGACTATGATTTGCAGCTCTCCTGCCATGTCTTACCCTTTTAACTTAATTGATCCTTACAATGACAACTACTTTTTCTTCACTTCTGATGTCCTCTGCTCTGATAACAATTCTCAAAACTTACCTGTCACTCACCAACAACAGTTTCCTGAAGCTATTTAAGCTGGTGTTCCTTTAAACGCTAGAACTCTCACTGCCTATCTTCCTCTCATGATGTTCTGTCTCTTCTCCTCTGAACCCTGCCTCTCCTTTTTTTTGGGTTAGAGGGCGAAGGAGGGATGGAAACACTACATTGATGTTTGGGGCTAGCCGTTCCTCAACAGCAAGTTCTACCTTGATATCCTTTACACCCGCGCTGACTGCGAAGTCCACTCCCAGAATACAAACGAGTGAAGACTCAGCATCCTCTGGTTGAGCCCTGCATCAGAAGTAATTGCTGCTAGGAAAGGTGGGACATGAGCCACAGAGGGTTCTGGGGGCAGGGAGCTGGAGTCACGGGGAGAGTTTATAGGAGTGAGGCAGTGTAGTCTACTGTATTCACTGCTCAGAAACGTGGTCTCCTCTACATTTGGGAAGTGAAATACAGACTAGGCCAAATACTTTGAGGAACACCTCTGTTGTAATCAAAAACGATCCCACATTCTAGCTCCTGACCAACATTTGTGCCTCAGGCTTGCCACAGTGCTCCAATGAAGCTCTGTGCAAGCTGAAAAAGCAGTATCTCATTTTCCAACATTGAGTTCAATAATTTTTGGGTCTGAGTACCTTCTCCCATGTCTTTTTTCCTGACCCATGCCCCAGACGTTGACATCACAGCCACCCAATCCTCACCTTTTTACGGTCCCTATTATCAGCAATTTTTCCCTTCCGTAGCATAGTTTCAGGGCGCCCTTCCCCTCCCCCGTTTCTGGGGAGGGGTCTGGGCCCAGGGCGTCGGCTTTCCTGCTCTTCTGGTGCTGCTTGGCCTGCTGTGTTCATCCAGCTCTACACCTTGTCATCTCAGATAGTGGTGAAGGGTTGTTTTTCGGACTGGAGGTCTGCGACCAGTGGTTTTCCGCAGGGTTTGGTGCTGGGTCCACTGTTCTTTGTCATTTATATAAATGATTTGGATGGGAATTTAGGAGGAATGGTTAGTAAGTTTGCAGATGACACCAAAATTGGTTTTATAGTCAATAGTGAAGAAGGTTATCTAAGGTTACAAAGGGATCTTCAGCAGTTGGACCAATGGACTGAGGAGTGGCAGATGGCATTTAATTTGGATAAATGAAAGTTTAGATAAACTGAACAGGATTTATACAATTCATGGTAGCGCCACGAATTGTATAAATCCTGCCCTTGTTCGGTTTATTTAAATTTTCATTTATCCAAATTAAATGCCACAGAATCTTAGGGGTTCTGTCTCACACTTAGTTTTTTGCAAGTTGTGTCATAGGTAGACAGGGTGGTTAAGAAAGCATTTAGCACCCTTGCCTTCAATGCTTAAACCATCGAGTGCAGGAGTTGGCATTTCTTGTTGAGGTTGTAAAGGACGTTGGTGAGGCCACTTTTGGAGTACTGTGTACAGTTCTTGTTGCCCTGCTATATGAAGGACATTATTAATTTGGAGAGGGTTCAGAAAAGATTTACAAGGGACTTTTTGGGGATTAGAGGGTTTGCGTTACGAGGAGACGCTGGATAGGCTGTCACTTTTTTGACTGGAGTGTCGGAGGTTAAGGGATGACGTTAGAGGTTTATAAAATCGTGAAGTCTATGGAGAAGGTGAACAGCAAAGGTCTTTTCCCTAAGGTGGCAGAGTTCAAAACTAGGGACTTATTTTTAAAGGTGAGAGGAGAATGATGTAAAAGTGACCTGAGGGGCAACTTCTTCACGCAGAGGGTGGTTTGTATATGGAATGGTGATATGTCTCATTGCAAGGGTAAGTGGTAGATCCAGATACAGTTGCAACATTTAAAAGACATTGGACAGGTACATTAATGGGAAAGGTTTAGAGGGATATAGGGCCAAATGCAGGAATGTGGGACTAATTTAGTTTGGGAAACTTGGTTGGCATGGACAAGTTGGACCGAAGGGTCTGTTTCCATGCTGAATGACTCTGATCCTATCTATCACTTTTGTTGCCTCTCTCTGTCAACACTCTGCCTTCACAATCCTCACACCTTTACGCAACACAACACCACACACACACTTCCCCGACCCTCCCTCCCCCAACTCTCTGGCTTTAGCACATATACCACCTTTTCCCAGCTACTACTATGAAGTTCACGATTTTGCTGAAAGGCAGAGTAGACTCAATGGGCTGAATGGTCTAGTTCTGCCCCCACACCTTAATGCTTTTTTTCTGCATAACCTCAGTATTGTAACTGGTATCATATGACTTGTTTAAGATACTTTGAAGAACTAATATGGATTCAGATCAGTACAAGCATCTGCATCAAGTCCTATGAAGACACATATTCCATGACTGGCAAAAGAACCAACATGAGGAAGTACTTTTTCTTTACACAGCAAACAGTGAGGATCTGAAATACACTGAATGTGGAGGCAGAAACAATTGCGGCTTTGAAAGAGAGTTGGATAAGCACCTGAAGGGATGAAGAATTTTCTAGGTTTTGGGGAAAAGGTAGGGAGTGCACCTATTTGGCACATGCTGGGATGCCTCCTTCTGTACTGTAACCATTTTATCATTCTAAATATCCGATAATAGAAATGATTGGACATGGATTTTACTGACCTCTCCCAGGAACCAAGTGATGAGAAAACCAAAGAGAACAGCATCATTTGCTTCTCGGTCATACCAGGGAATCCCAATAGAGCAACAATCCCACAATTCAGCTTTCCAACGGTCCAAGCTCCAAGCTGTAGCTCCAACATCGAACAGGATAACACAAGGATTCCCTTCAATCAACCATCGCCCAAAGTACACCTGTACAAACAGAGAGGCAGACAGAACAGATGGTTTACATATTGCATTGCTGGCTGAATATTCAATACACTTTTCTTTATTTGAGATTGTATCCTTCTCTAGGGAAATAAGTTTCAGTAATTGAGCACACTAGCATGTGCCCAAGTGTGAAGGTTGTAAGTTCAAGTTCAAGTTCAAGATTTAAACATATAATTCAGTCTGACATTCTGACAGTATTTGAAGAGACTGCTATCTTGTCAAAAGATGAGAAGATAAACTGAGGTCCCATTTGCTACCAGGTGGATGGTAAAGATCCTATAGGAGTTTTACCATATAATAGTGACCAGGTCACTTTGAAGAATAAATAGTTCTCTATCAGCATCACTAAAACACAGTGCCTGATCATTTAACTCCTAATGCTTTGTCAGACTTTGCTGAGTGGTAAAAAACAAACAGTGACAACTCTTCAAAAATAACTGTGAACAAAGAATGCTGGATAGCACAGCAGGTCAGGCAGCATCCCTGGATTGACAGCAAGCTAATGTTTCAAGTCCAGGTGACCCTTTAACAGAGCTGACGTGAAGTCTCTCTCTCAATGGATGCTGCCTGACCCACTGTGATTTCCAGCATTTTTTGTTTACTGTACAGATTCCAGTATCTGCAGTAACTTGATCCTACACAAATAATTGTTGCCTGTATACCCTCCTTGAACACTGAAAGGATGTAAACTCCTCAATTATAAACACAACCACTTTCTGATGAAATACACAAAACATAAATGATTATATTGACGATAAAGTTGACCAGGTCCCTCTAAAGTCCTGAGACAACAAGGTGTAGAGCTGGATGAACACAGTAGGCCAAGCAGCATCATAGGAGCAGGAAGGCTGACGTTTCGGGCCTAGACCCTAGGCCCTTTTTTTTCTGAAGGAGGGTCTAGGCCCGAAACGTCAGCTTTCCTGTTCCTCTGATGTTGCTTGGCCTGCTGTGTTCATCCAGCTCTACATCTTGTTGTCTCAGATTCTCCAGAATCTGCAGTTCCTTCTACCCCTCTAAAGTCCTGGCATCTTTTATCACAAACTCTTCCTCAGTTAGTTGTAGAGTCTGATGGTTTTAAATATAACCAACCTGAACTTCATGATCCCACTATGGTTTCAAGTGTTATGTTTCCACTGATAGGAAAATCTAGAACCTGAGGACACAGTCTCAGAGTGAAGAAATGACCCTTTGGAACTGAGATGAGGAGGAATTTCTTCAGCAAGAGGCTGGTGAATCTGTGGAACTCATTGCAGCAGAGGGCTGTGGAGGCCACGTCATTCAGTATATTTAAGACAGAGATAAATAAGTTTTTGATTGATAAGAGGATCTAGGGTTACATGGAGAAGGCAAGAGAATGGGATTGAGAAACATATCGGCCACAATCGAATTGCGGCGCAGACACAATGGGCCGAATAGACTAATTCTGCTCCTTTATCTTATGGTCTATTACGTCTCCTGTTAAAAAAGATGAACAGAATGTTCACCAATTTATTATTGATTCAACATACAATAGTATCTTGACGCCAATTCGATCTTCATTGCAGACTAATCACAGGCTGAGCAACACGGAATGAAATCTTGGGTACTATTCAACTTCAGACTAAATTCTAATCCCTCATATTCTATCCACTACCAGATCGGAAATGTCAGCTTTCCTGCTCGACCTGCTGTGTTCATCCAGCTCTACACCTTGTCATCTCAGATTCTCCAGCATCGGCAGTTCCTACTATCTCTGAACCGGTTGGTACCTTGCAGCCTTTGGCGTTCATGGAGTCAATGGTCCGTCTGATGGCGGGATTCTGCGGTTCGACCAGCTCCACCTGGGTCCTCACGTTATGCTCAAAATATGGGCCCATCATCACATAATTCTCGCCCCACTCGTCGATGGTGATCTTTGCCTTGGTTTGAATCACGGTGTAGATGCCTCCAACTAGAGAGACAGAGGAACAGTTAAACTGGCCCCAGCACACAGCTCCCCGGGAGAGGACATTCGGCCCACGCTGCTCCTTACCTTTGTTAGTCACTTCCCAGGCCACCTCGACCAGAATCACATCGTCCCGGAGCGGGGGCCCGATACTCTCCGGCCGCCGGAGAGAGCCGGAGACGTTGCCAGAAACGGACATCCTAAACCCACTGGGAGCAGTAATCAAAATGCATCAGAACAGCAAAGGGATGGGAATGGACGCGGGCGGCACTAAGCAATGGCAGCACCACGGGGTTGCCCCTTCACAGGGCGATGCCAAGTCGCGGGCAAATGTTACACTGGAGCCCGGGTCGGGTGTACGGGGG